TCTCCGGCGAAAGACGTGATCCAGCGATGGACGAACATCAAACTTTTATCTTTTTCCGGCAAAAAATTCATCTTTTTTCGGTAATATTTGGCCACTTTCTGACAAAAAATTATGGTGGTAATAAGTAAGGTATGTATTATATAAAAACTGTAGAGTCCAAAAATCGTCTTTAATTCATAATTTTTTGGTTAATTTGTTGAAGATTCGATTTTGAATATTTTTGTTTATATATCTCAACTATAATATAAGTAATTATAAGGAATGTAAAACACACCATAAAAACTCTCCACCTCGTAGTGCAGTTGGTTTGGAAAATGAAAAGGTAAAGCTTCCAACTTGTGTGTAACACCATTTGCTAGATGGATACGAGCTTAATTATTCATGTTATATGTCATTGTCATACGGCGATTTGCCGTATTTGCTATTATATCGAATGGTTTACGTAGAAACTATTCCCCATTGAGTAAGCGAAATGCTCACCCCTTATTGTTTTCCACACCTATGTTATTCGAGTTGGCAAGTGAGCGATGGCGAGGGTGGTCAAATAAATAAAGTCGCTTCCAAGTTTTACTGCTTTTAAGATATTTTCAAAAATAAGACAATGCATGAGTTTATTTTTTTTATGATGATTTTAGACACTACGAAACATGCTTTATGTTTTGATTCATGATCAAGTTTATTTATGCAAGGTATGATATATGAGTATGCAATGATCTATGTAATGACAAGTTAACGAGGCTATGCAAGTTTCGAAATAGTAGTCCCTTGAGTTTTTAAATGTTTCAAAAAAAAAAATCGTGAAATTCAAGGTATGAAAAATGGGTTTATATTTACCCTACAGCAAATAAGGTGACCATAATATCTATTTTGTTGTTCATATATAACAAATTTATGTTATTATTAGGTTATGTTAGGTGTTATTTACCCTATAAACAAAAAAATAAGGTGACAATGATCATTGTACCACTGTACATGATGACGGTACCTCTGTTTGAGTATTTAATACTACTAGTATTCGACCTGTGCATTTACACATATATAAATAAATTATTGTGAGTCTGTACATATAATGATTAATTATTTTTCTTTCACTTTTTTGCAGACCAAGTTTACAATTAAAAGAGTTGGAATATTTTTTTTTAAATTGCGTTTATCTGATTGGATGTAATGTATATTTTGGTACGTCTTTTATTTGTGAATTATTTATTATTTATTATTTATTTAGGAATTTCAAATATATTTTTTATTTTCAAAAAATAAAAAATAAATGTAACAACAATAATAACATCTAATCACATTATACGGTCAACACATTATATGGTCAACTGTCATTAATCAAAAGTTTAAAATGATTTTTGTAATTTTGAAGTGATGAGTATTAATTATTTAATGATTAAATGAAAGATTAAATACATCAAAATGTAACGATTTTTGGGGGAAAAATTATTAAATTGCCACATATATAGGTAAAATTAAATAGGTTTTATTAAATTCTATTAGCTAGTAATTATATATATATAGACTTCATCACTATTTGATATCAGTAGTGATGAAAAATAAAGTTGTTTTATTTATCTAATTATTGTTAAATACAATGAAAGGGACAAAAAGTGATATATTAGGAAGTTGTTGTACCTAAAACAATGATTGTTTGTGTTCTCTATACACATTGGATCAACTCTTGACGAAATGTACACTCTCATTGGTAAGAAATGGCCGAATGTAAATTTGGAATCAGTCATGTTATTGCGCAAAAAAAAACGGTTTTGTCTACAATCCCGTCACGGAATGATTCCGTGAGGGATTTTAGTCATCAGATAATTGTAGACAAATCTAAAAAAAACATCGATGTAAAAAACATGCATTTGTGAAAAACGAAATTCGATTACATTTGTGTTGTATGTATTGTATTTCGGACGAATTTATTGATGAGGATATGAAAACCATGCATTTGTGAAAAACATGATTCGGGTGCATTTGTTTAATTATTCATTTGTGAAAAACATGATTCGGTTGAAATATCATACGTATAATTGAATGATTACGAGATGTTAAAACATGCTCGTGGTTGGTGAAAAGTTTTCTGACTTTGACGAGTTACAATCACATTAAAAGCAACATAAAAGCTTCATCGTAATAATCCACAATTCCGAAACCCAATAAATGAAAGTTGGCAACTATAAAGAAAAAAGCTTCAATATTTAGTGCGGATGCAATTAATGTAGATTAAGTTTTTACTTTACGTTTGCTTCTTTATAAGGTAACTTTTTAAATCAATACAACTGATGTGTTACCGGCCT